CTCCCGCATCCCGCACACACGAGTGTCTACCCGCCCACACGCGCACTCATCAAGTGTTGTCCCGCGATAGTGCAGGTCTCTAGGTGCCTGTTATAATGTTATGATCGGGGCTCTGGACTCTGAGCATAACTTGTTTTTCTATAACAAACTATAAAATATTTTCTATAAAAACGTTAATTCCCTGGCAGTGGCAAATAGCTTTGGTTTTATATTTAATTTGATTACATTAATGTTATAAGTTGAGATTTACAAGAAATATTTTAACTGCTACTATGTGAATGGAATACTGCTTTAAAAAAGCACCTTATTCGTTTAAAGTGTTTTCAAACCAAATATTATTGCACTTTTGTTCATATACCACACTAGTCAAACGAACCGGGCTTTGGGGGTCAAACTTGCTTGGGCATGGTTAAGATTGCCTAGTGTGATACACCCTTATTCTCCCGCATCCCGCACACGAGCCTCTACCCGCCCGCACCCGCACTCGCCCATCTAGTGTTGTCCCATGCCGCACTCTGCTGCGTTGGGTCCCGCGATAGTGCAGGTCTCTACTCGGAAGGTGCCAGTTATAATGTTATGATCGAGGCTCTGGACTCTGAGCAGAACTTGTTTTTCTATAACAAACTATAAAATATTTTCTATAAAAACATTAATGCCCTGACAGTGGCAAATAGCTTTGGTTTTATATTTAATTTGATTACATTAATGTTATAAGTTGAGATTTACAAGAAATATTTTAACTGCTACTATGTAAAAAGAATACTGCTTAAAAAAAAGCACCTTATTTGTTTAAAGTGTTTGCAAACTAAATGTTATTGCACTATTGTTCATATACAGTAGCAATACTTTTAAATGAAAAAAGTGCACAATACACTACTTTTGAATTCATTATTAAATTTTGTGCATAATGCGATACAAATTTTTAATCATTGCCCAGCACTAAAAAAAACAGCCTTTATTGTAACTTGTCAAACACTAAAATATAAATACATGAGAAATTAAATAAATTGAGAAATGTAGGAGTTCAACTTTACTTGAAATTGTGACTCATCTTATGAATAATGCAAGGAAAATGCACTCTTTCTTTATCTAGTTGAGTTTCACAGTCAACAAATATGTTAAAGGTTGTTTTGGTTGTTAGTTTTTTGGATCTCAATTACTAGACTGAAAAGCAGTGTGAAAAACTCATTTTATCATTTATCCTTTTTTTAAGAAAAAGATATATTAAAATAAAATAATAAAAACTAAGAGGAAGTACAAATAGCAATAAATACTAGCCTATTTAAACTAAGTACAAATAATGTTAAATACTATTTATACATGTAGTTATTTGCACCTCAGTGTACAAATAGTTGCTACAAGTAGTCGTGACAAAAATGTTTATATTTTGTGCCCCCTAACACGATAGAAATAACACAATAAAAACAGACGTAAATTATTTTTTAGTATCTGACAAGCTACAATAGAGGTTTTCTATTTTTATATGAATCTTTAGTGTTTTTTATAGTGTTGATTTTTGGCAAACTGCAGGGAAGCCAATGTGGGTCAGTTTTTCAATTTGATCCCAAGACCATTTTTGAACACAACAGGAGGGCTAAAACGTTTTGTAAAAAACTATGTAGGCACAATTTATTTTAAATGCTTTCAAGTGTTCCAAAATTGTATTTGACTGGTATAGTGTAAATCATGAATGTTCTATTAATTCAAATCCAATTTAAGAAAAATCTGCTAGCTCTTACTTCCATTGTTCCCAACAATGAAGTTTACATTTGGTCCAAATTTGAAAGGCCCGAGCAAATGGTGGCTCATAAAGTTCCTCAAAGTGATACTTTCTATCACGCCGATATCTCCCACGCTCTGGAACAGCACAAGATGTTATTCGAACCAGAACTGTCACTACAACATTTAATAATGTTATGTTATGTATTCAGGAAATCACCAAACTGACCGAAGCAGAGAGTGACTGATCTTGCTGGACTTCATCCTCCTCATCAACCTCCTCCTCATCCTGAACATGTGTTTTGCCATCTGTCCTAGGAGTCTTAGACGGGTTTACAACATTGTGGACACAAGACTTCCTCTTACTCATGGCAGAAAGATGCCCAGCCTAGAAGAAAGGAGCACAGAAACACATCCGCATGCATCTGGAAGCATTTCTAACGTGCTGTCACACACAGTTTATCTGTTTACTTCTGCACAGTTTTATGAAACATCATATTTTAAGCAAGAAAGTTCATATTTGATGTCAGAAGCTACTTTACAATGTCACTGAAATGCATTAATAAGCACAGATGCTGCATCGCAAAGAAGAACAATAGATGCGTTTGCGAACATGCCAACAGCTCCGCTGACATAACTCAACTGACATAGATGAACAGGTGTACAGCCAATTAAAAAGTACATTAGAATCGCATATGGACACACTGTTTAACAGCGCACAAGTTCTATTAAATTAATAATGTCTATATGATTGTACTTACCCATTCCTCTGCATCTGGATAGTGAATGCGTCTTATTGAGGACTTCCTGGTTGACAGATCGCGTGCAGCTACAACAAACAAACTCCACCTCCTAATATATGACTGTAAAACTTCAGACCACCAGTGCTTATTTATGCTGCATAAATATGTCCATAAACGTCCTTTGTAGAATATTCTGATCGCAAATTACCACATTAACCGTTTTATTTTTGCTAAAATGTAATTTTAGTACTTCACAGTCACAAGTGGATTTCCTACAAACAGTGTAAATAGTTTTTCTATAATGATTATTAATTTTTTATTTTTAACTGTCCGTGACAGTTGTGGCTAATGAGACGTTACCACAGTTTTACAGTAGTAACTTGTGTTGTTGCGGAAAAGACAGTTACAAAACTCTTGTATAGGTTTATTTTAATTAGTTAATTGTAAACCATATTTTTAACAAAAAATAACATTTTTAAACAAGATACCTCATACCTATTAAAATGTACCGTTTAAAAGACAACTTGAGCGGGGCAACTGGTGTTTTGAAACAGGCATAAAGTTACAAATCACGCGCTCTTAACTCTTAACTCGGTGGTTCCCAACCCTGGTCCTGGAGCCACCCCAACACTGCACATTTTGCATGTCTCTTTAATCAAACACACCTGATTCAGGTCATCAGCTCATTAGTAGAGACTCCAAGACCTGAAATTGGTGCGGCAGAGAAAGGAGACATGCAAAATGTGCAGGGTTGGGGTGCCTCCAGGACCAGGGTTGGGAACCACTGCTCTAACTGACGTAGACCAGATTGATTCGTTAAAACATCCCGTGGTGTTTGTGTTTAGTTGACTGTATACTTCGTTTTTTGCGGTTGTGGTTTGATTCACGACTAACATTGAGATCACACATTAAACAAGTAGAGGATAAATGTAAAAAAGTACTAAACATTATGAGGTGTCTTACAGGAGTGGAGTGGGGAGCAGATTTTAATTCATTAAAATATATATATATATATTTCCCTAATAAGATCTAGGTTGGATTATGGGAGTCAGGCATTTGGATCAGCAGCAAAATCAGTATTAGCGAGGCTGGACAAACTTCAGGCACAGGCATTGGGATTATGTCTTGGAGCCATGAGAACATCACCAGTGTGCTCACTGCAGGTAGAGGCAGGTGAAATGCCTTTGAGCCTAAGACGAAAGCAGCTGCTTGTAAATTACTGGATTAGTTTGAAGGGACAGATAGATAGTCACCCAACCAAAAGAGTGTTACAAGACAATTGGGAAAAGGGAAAGGGGAAAACGTTTAGTTTTGGTTGGACAGGAGATGATGTTGCACGTGACCTGGGAGTATATGGAAAGGAGTTTTGTAAAACTGTGGTATGGCCCAGTATCCCTATGTGGAAGTTTGACACTCCAGTAGTGGATTTGGAGGTATTACAGACCAAAATAGCAAACAATCAAGTTGATTTGGTGAGTGGATTTTATAGACATGTGAACCAGAAATACATTAATTTTAAGCACATTTTTACAGATGGATCAAAAGACCCAATAAGAGGAGTTACAGGTGCTGCAATTGTAGTTCCCAGCCAGAAGAGTGAAATGAGCTGGAGAACCTCAGATCACTTAAAGGGGTTATATGATGCTGCTAAAAAGAACATTATTTTGTGTATTTGGTGTAATGAAATGTGTTTATGCGGTTTTAGTTAAGAATCATCAGGAGCTTTTTTATGATGTTATGTCTATCTATTCAAGAATAAAGGTGATGAGGTTATATTTATGTGGGTCCCAGCACATATGGGCATTATAGGAAACGAAAAGGTAGACAAAATAGCTAAGAAAGCACTGCAAAAAGAGAGCATAGAAGCAGTCATCAGCCTTTCAAGATCAGAAGGAAAGAGTATAGTGTGGGGAAAAATTATTAAAGAATGGCAACAAAGGTAGGATCAAGAACTAAAAGGAAGACATTTATACTTGATTAAAGAAAGAGTTGGCACTGTGGAAAATAAGGGAGGAAACAGGAGAGAAGAGACTATTATGACCAGAGTAAGAATAGGGCATAATAAATTGAATAGCACTCTTCATATTATGGGAAAACATCCAACTGGGTTTTGTCACCAGTGCCAAATACCTGAGACTGTAGAATGTGTTTATAAATTGTTTAAAATATGAATTACAGAGGATGGATATGATAAATGACATGGAACAAATAGGACGTGGAGTAAAGAATATAATGGACTGCAGTAGGAGTGAACAAGGAATGTCATATTTGATTTGCTTTCTAGAAGTTGACTTTATACTGGCTGTAAAATCAGTAATGTAAAATCATTTGTATATATGATGGGGAGAAATTAATGTTGGTAAGTTTTCGTTTTTTACTAAATTACTACATTTAACTCCTAGCTTCTTTTTAGTCGTGTTGTTTTTTTACTTTAAAAAAAAAAAATTTTTTTTTGCGATGGCAGGTACAGATGTGTGGCTTCCCTCTATTGTGTAGTTTGTTCTTTTGACTTTTCATTTGGTGTTTGATTTTTTTTCTCTTTGGTTTGTCAATCTAACTAGGCTAGATCCTGTATTCCTATTCCACTGCTTAATAAGGCATTTTTTTTATCTTCAAGTGTCATCAAAAGGTTAACAAACATTTGGTGCTTGGGGTTGTGTTTATTTAAGTAGTGAATGCCTTTAAGGACTAATTTGTTCAAAAATTATTATCATTTACTGTACTTAACTTCATGTCCAAGCCCATGCTGTGCACATTCAAGTGTTTAAAAAACGAATGTATGAAGCTAGAATAAAATGTTTTTGTTTACAAGCAGATACCCTGTTCTTTCTTTTGATGTAAAACATAGATGTAAACTAGTTGTGTACTTAAAGTTTACGACTGTTATACTTAAAGTATACTTAAAAGTATACTTTTATATACTAGAAAGTGGGCCAATTTAGTCCCAAGGAGTATTGAAATAGTACACTTACAAGTATACTACTAGTACACTGATATTTGTATACTTACTACATAAAGTTTACTTAAAAATATACTTGAACTTTACTTAAGTATACTTAATAAAATAAGTATAATATTGTCATATCCTAACAAACCATATATCAATGGAAAGCTTATTTATTCAGATAGAAAAATTGACCCTTATGGCTGGTTTTGTGGTCCAGGGTCACATATAATTATTGTTGTCTACAGTAAAGTCTAGATGATCGATTCAAGGCGCAGAAGGGAAAAGAAGGAGCAGATATTTCTCTTCAAAAAAATATTTGGTGAAGCTAGTGAGAACACGCTGTCTTGCAAGTTTATGAAAGAAGATGGCATCACTTCGGAAGTTAAAATGACTCCCTGTGGCATCACATCTGATTCAAGTGAGAAATTGGATAGTTTAGACTTGAATGCATCACCGGTAGTATCTGAACCTGTGAAGGAGACTTTCCAGCTGCTCTTCAAGAAACCAGATGTCTCTTTGGGACAGACAGTAGAAGCCTTTGCATCATGCATTGTTGGACCAGATTACTTCTGGTGCCAGTTTTCGAACTCTGAAATACTTGACCAAATCACACTTGTTGCCCAAGAATATGGAAACTCTAGTGAGAGACAGCCGATTAAGCTGGATGATTTGGATCCTGGAAGCCCGTGCCTGGCTCGTTTCTGTGACGATCAGATGTGGTATCGTGCGCAGGTTATTGATAAATGCACAAACACTGTATCTGTCCTTTTTGTTGACTTCGGAAACGAGTCTGAAACCAGTGAAGGCTTTGTTAAGGCACTGCCTTGTGACTTGCTGGAAAGTCCACCTCAAGCTTTTCTGTGCAGGTTGGAAGGGTTTGATCCTTCCAAGGGATCTTGGGACAGTTCAGCTACTGATAACTTCTACGGGCTTTTAATGGATAAACCTCTGAACCTGACTGTGCAGTGCATTGACAGTACAATTGATCCTAACAGCCCTCCATATTATGTTAAAGTTCACAAATCACAAAATGATCAGAACTCTTCTGAGGTGATTGAATCCTGTGAAACATTCATTACATCAACATCTGATCAACTTGTTTCAGAGGATAAAGCAAGTGTGAGCCTTGCAGTTTCTACAGAGGATATGCACACAATTGAATCTCATGGTGCAGAACAACATGGAGCTAATCAGATTGCACCATTAGAAGTAAAAGGTGACTTGCATGGTGTACCTGAAAACAAGGTGGATGATCAGCTTGATGGAGCAGATGTGATTGCTGCTGTAACAAATTCTGATGTCACTGCTGATGATCCTACAGGGATTCATTCACCAGATTTAGAAATCCATGAAGTCTGTCATGAATCTGATGATGGAGTTCCTGTTGTATCAGCTGAGCAAATGCTAAAGATGTAGAAGATGGAGGATCTGAAAAAGGTTTGTATGCGTTTCTGTACCTGATTATTCTTCATATGGGATGCTTATTTATTTTTCAGAGGACAACCCGACGATCACAAGCAGAGGTGCAGATTGGGTAGCTGGTTTAGAAAATCCAATGTTACCCATGGTATTTGCTTTTTTGTTTGGTATGTGGGTTTTTAACGAGTAATCTTTTTTTAATGAATAACTGTATTTCTTTATTTTGTAGGTTTGCACTGAAGATTCATGTGAATCTGTTAAGTGCATCTTCAAATGAACAGAATTTTAAAGGGGTCATAAGATTTCAAGTTTTCAAGGGGTTTCAAGTTTTCCTTTCTCTTTGGAGTGTTACAAGCTGATTGTGCATAGATAAGATCCCTGAAGTTGCAAAGACTAAAGTCTCAAAACCAAAGAGATATACTTTATCAAAGTTAAGACTCTGCCACGCCCCCCTAAAACAGCTCGTTCTAACACGCCCCCACATATCTACCTCACTATGTGGCAATATTAGCATAATGCCGCCCAAATTTATGCAAAGAAAGAAGGTGTGGTTTCAGTAACCGCAGTTAGTGTTGAAGCAGCCATGTCAGAGAGACACTGTGTGTTTCTAGGCGAAAGCTAAAGCACTTTATTTGGCCTTCCGAAAGTAGATGCATTTAGGAATCTTTAAGATTACTTACAACAGAACAGCAAAGCATTTTATGGACGACCGGAAAAATTCTGACTTTGCTATCAAAATAATGATCTTTAAAAAAGCATAATATGACCCCTTTAAACTTTATTTATTGTGAAAAGGTATAATTTGTTTTTCATGGGGAAAATTAATTTAAACTTCAAACAGACACAGCCTTTGAAAGATCAGAGATTTGATTTGCCGTGTTGCTTGTCACGTTTCTTGTCGTTTTAAAAGCTTGTCTGATTGCATTGTTTGGTTTTGTTGATACCCCAGTTTATCTTTGTAGATGCTATTTGTAATCATTCATTTCTGAATTATTATTATTTATTTTTTTTACTGTTTATACACAAGCAATTGTAAATTGAAATGACGAATGTTCAGAAAGTACGAGCATTTCATACCACAGTCCTGCTCTTCCTTCACCCCGAAGTCTGTAGTGGAGTTTTTTTCTCCTTATTGTGCAAATAGTGTGGTCATTTTTCTTTATCTTGATGTGTGTGAATAATCGGTTGTTGGAATAAAACCTGTTCATAGAATTGAATTTGTGTTGATTCAAAATTTTTAAAGGTGGAAATTTGTTATAGATAGAAAGTTATCACACTTTTTTTCCCCTAACACTGACATTTTTAAACTGCTAAAAAAATACATTTTATGTGTACTTGACACAATTTAGTTAAGACGTTTTTCTAATACACGGTGTTATAGGCCTACAGTGCACATTTCTTTCTCAAGGGGGCGCACAGCGGCTCAAAATCCTTCGACGAGCAGCGTTCAGATCTAATGACCGTTTTATTTTTTATCCGAACTACAACATTTGTACATTACAATGCATACAAATATATATAAATTCAGTTGAGTGGTACCTGACACGCAAATGTGAATCCGCCCAAACAATCTATCTTAAATTCCTTAATTGTCACAAGTGATTGGTCCATGATGAACTACGCTGAGAAAAGTAACTGGTATCACGTGACAACGCCGTCTGTACGCTGCTACAGAGTTATTCTGTACAGTAATGTAGCGCGAAATCAAAATAGACATTAAATTGAAAATATATAGTGAATATTTGTTTAATATAATAATAATAATTTAGATGTTTATTTAAAACCTTTTGTTTTTTTCAATGGGTAAAGCCCGCTGTCGCGTTGCTGTGGTAACAAGTCAAGCGAGAAAAGCAACACAGAGAGTAAACCGAAGGGTTTCAGTTTTAATGTTACTGATTAAAAACGATGACAGAGTTGCATCAGGCAGCAGCTTCTGGAGATTATGATCTAGTGGAAGAAATTGTGGGGAAAAAATCGTGTGACCCTAATCAGAAAGACTTAGACTGGAACAAGAAGACCCCGTTGCACTGGGCAGCATCCAAAGGCAGGTTATAGCCTACTTTCGGGACCAAAAAGTGCTGTTTTATTACAAATGTATAAAAAAACAATCATTATTATAACTTAATTGTCTTTTACAAATGACATGAATATGGTAAAAATGTGACCTGGATGTTAACCCAGTTTTCCCAGGCGGAAAAAATTGCACTTCCATAATGTACTTAAAGTGCTCTGTTTTCACGCACTAATTTTGTAGCTACTTAATATACTAAAAATATACTTTAGTACTTCTTAAGAACATCTAAGTGTACTAAAATGTGCTATTTTGAGACACCGTGAACTAAAATGTGCTTTTAACATACTATCTCTGTATTTAAAAAATGTATTTAGATACCACTTGAAGTAGACTTGAACCCATCTTTCATACACTAGTGGGTCCAAGTGTACTACAAGTGGTAAATAAATACATGTTAATACTAAAATAGTATGTTAAAAGCACATTTTAGTTCATATTCACGGTGTCTCAAAATAGCAAATTTTAGTACACTTAGATGTTCTTAAGATTATCTTAAGAAGTACTAAAGAATACCTTTTAGTATATTAAGTACAAAATTAGTGCATGAAAATAGAGCACTTTAAGTACATTATGGAAGTGCACTTTTTTCCGCCTGGGGTTCTTGCATGTGTGATGCTAATGCCATTTAACCTCTGATCTTGTTTAAGGCCAAACAGAGATGGTTCGGATATTAATTGAAAATGGAGCCAGGGCTTGTTTGAGGACGGATAATGGATGGACACCCGCACATTTTGCAGCGGAGTCCGGAAAACTAGCAGTACTTCGACTCCTTCATTCCCTACATGCACCTGTAGACAAGGAGGATTCCTCCGGCGATAAACCTGTCAGGATTGCTGAAATCTATGGACATGAAGATTGTGTTCTTTTTCTTAAAAAGTAAGATTAATCTATTGTTTTGTTTTCTGAATCACATTTGTGAAATAATCAGTTCTTACTGATTGAGGCATTTTCTGATGCTGTTTAGTCAAAGAAGTGGCAATGTGATCCAAGATGTTCAATGACAGGGTGTTCTCTACTTTCAGGGCAGAGGTTGAGAGCAGAAACTACCGGCAAATGGCAAAGTTAAATGGGCTGCCCTTAGACGATACTGATGAAGAATGGGAACAGGAGAGAAAAGAAGCCAATAAACAAGTCATTAAAAAGTAGGTTTTATCAGGCCATGAGAACAAAATACAAACTAATGGATGCTTATATTTTTGTTGCACATCTAAATGAAATGAAAAATATAGTAAAGATAGTAAAATATAAAAGAAAGCTTGGTGGACAGTAAAATTACAAGCCAAAATTAATATTCATGTATGACTGTCACCAGTTACGAGTAATACCAAGTAGGCTATATATAGACATACACGCATAAATATATTTACATGAATATACATAAAACTGAATAAACCATTTTCAAAAATAAAAATTAACTCATTCACTAAATTACATGACAAAATTCATATTCATCTATGACTTTCACCAGTTTTAAGTAATACCAAGTAGGCTATAGACATACAAGCATGATTATACTTACATGAATACGCACAAAACTGAATAAACCATTTTCAGATAGAAAAATTAACACATTTTCTAAATTATATGCCAACATTCATATTCATCTATAACTTGCACTAGTTTTGAGTAACACCATAGGCTATAGACATGCAAGCATAATTATACTTACATATACAAAACGGAATAAACCATTTGCAGAAAGAAAGAAAAAAGAACCCAGTCACCCTGGCAGAAATCTAAAAACAAAACCATAATATGACTAAGATGACTACATCTAAATATATTTGTATCCTCTGAGCTAGGATATCACAAATAATTGTACAGTTTACTAGAAAACAATGTTTTAGAGCTGTGACAGAATTTAATCCATGAAGTTTTTCAAGGTTCCCTCGAGTTTCATGTCTTCTTTTTCAGTACTTTTAGAAGGCACCGACTAAATGATTCACATGCAGATTTGGAATAAAAACAACATTAGAACAAAATATGTAGACACTAAATAAAATATTCTCAAGAGCACAAATGCAACTTACTTTTAATCTGTCCAGTCTTTATTTCGTCATAACTGAAGATGTCGCTTTGCTTGAGTTTTCACTTTTAGAATGCACTGATTGCTAATGTAAGAAAATGTGGGAACACGAGCTGTGTTATTTCATGTGTTTGTAATGCATTTGGAATCTGTAAAAGCATGCATTTCTCTCGTACATACTAACCTTAGATTGCAAACGCTTCAGAAGTGCATCACGAACCTTTGGGGAAAATGAAATATGATTATATTGAGCTTGACTGTAAAGTTTTTACAAAGTAAAACCTTGCAAATGTGATCAGTTCTAATCAACTGATGCAAATAAATGTTATATTTTCAGTCTAAATTCCTTAAACAGTTATGATCAATCATACGGAGGGCACGTGTATAGCGGGCATAGGTACCTTTTTCTCTCCCAAGCAGTTTGTCAGCAGTATCAAAAAGCCCTGCAATGAAATACAAGAAAATATTTTAATGTAAATGCACGAATAAACAGATAAAGTGTTTGATGCTTGACCCTTACCTGCAGCGAATTGAACAATGTAAATGCGTAGCTCACAATTTGGGCGAAAGGTTTTTGTGTAAGATCAAGGTGCAGCACCAAAATCCCGAGGAGCCAAGTTATTCCGAGGACAGGGCTTAAGAAAACTACTGTCTTAATCATACCCTTGGCAACGTCCTTGTGGTCCTGCGCCTTTGAATCCAACACAGCAGGAGTTACTATCTTCATGATCACTACAACCAGTGTGAACAAGTTTACCATCACAATAGTTAAGGCAGGAATTACAAAGGAAAAGAGGGAGCCCTTCAGCACACCCTGATATATGAGCCAGCAAGTGTCTGTGGAATAGTATTTACCTTCTTTACCGTTCTCGAAAGTAATGTAGGTTGTTGCCACACATATTAAAGGGCACACGTAACCAACAGTGATAGACAATACCAAAAAAACCTTTTTCCTCAGCTGGTCAAAGACAAATATCATTTGGTGAAGAAGCACGACACTTAAGCACAGCATCCAGAAGAAGACAGCAAGGAAAAAAAAGTGTTTGGCTACTGTAAGGATGGAGCACCAGTGTTTGGGGATTGCCTTCGGATCAGATGATGCTAAAAATCCACAGTGTGCAAACAGCAAGCATAAAGAGATGTTGACTAAGGCCGCGTGCCGAAAATTGGAGATGTCTGACTTTACAACTGCATCCCATACCAAAAACTCAATGATTAAACACAGAACAAGTGAGACGATGGATATTCCTAAGCCAACGTAGGTCAGTTCCTTCATATACGGAAGGGTCTCTGCATTTTTGGACATCATTACGGTGAAGGCAGAGTTGTGTGTACATGTGCACAACTTTTGATTTTCTGCACCACCCCATTTACACCCCTCTGAAGACCAAGTACTGTTCTTTTCATCCCAGAAAACACAATACATTTCATGATTCCGAAGTCTTTTTTCACCGTAATCGAACGTCATCTGGACAGAGATGGACTTCTTCTCATTATTTACAGTGGTGACTGACAAGATGGTGGTCTCTAAGGGCCTTTTTTCATACTGTGGTAAAATTTTGTGAAGGTTCCGGAATGCAACGACAACAACCCTATCATCTGGGCTGACGCTGGCATTAAAGTTGCTGCAATGTGCCCCTCCGGTCTTATTACAGACTGCAAGTTTAACATTATAAGAATTTTGAGGATGATTCATGGTCAGATTTGAGTTGAGTATCATTTGCTCAATAGTCTGTAGATATGTCACAGATAAATCTGTGTTTTTAGTTTCAGGATTGTTCCAGGCTCCTGTTTTATTCAAAGCGTTGCTTATAGCGCTGACAAAGTCCTGCAATGTAAAGTGAAATGCGATTAGACTTTGAGCAAACAGAAATTTTGTATTATTTGTCATTTCATGTTGTTTCAAATTCCTTGGAGTTCATTTTTGACATGTTTTAATAACAACTACTCGTCAAACTTTTGCAATAGATCTAAAAAAAAATAGCCCTGTTCCCAAACCAAATATTACTGAAGATTTTAAAGATGTTAAACAAAGAAACTGAAGAGAAAACATACATACAGGCATGACAGTATCATTCCATTGATTGAACTGCTGTTTAGATACATTGTTCATGGCTTCAAAAATAACTACAGATGCGTTAATATTTGCAAATGAGTTGAATGTCTCCACAGTGGTCGAATGCTGTATTCGTCTGAAAAGTCCGTCTGCATCATTCTTAATAAGGCCAATGCCTTTATTTAATATCTGTTATTATGACAGCAAAAAAACAAGGATTTAGTGCTAAGAGTAAATCTGTCCAGCAATAACGTCAGTAAATGAATACCAAAGAATGATACCTCTATATCCTTTTTAATGCCATGCAGGTCTATATTCACACAAGTAGAGATTTCGTCTTTCCACCCTTCATAGCACTTTTTCATTTTTGAACCAACAGCAGAGTTCCCACAGGATATAATGGCCGTATAGGTGTGTTTTGTGATGGGCCACTCGTTATCTTCTTCACAGAATTGTGAATGGGCTGTATTAAGGAATAATATACAGTATTAATATACAGATTTGTTTTTCTCATCATTTTTGTTTTTATAATTACAATTCAAAAAATCAAGCGTAGCGTTAGTTCTGGCAGGTCACGTTAGTCAAGCTCGCATCAGCTGACTCTCAGCTGATCCCCATCTACCTATGGGAATACGACACTTATCTAAGCATTCATATATAAGGTCCCTCAGTATTATCAGCAGTTTTCGCATTGCTCAATAGCTAATTACCCTCCTCCATCCCCAGCTCCTCCTCTGTCAGTCAGGATTCAGCCTTCTGATTATCCTTTGAATCAGACTAATTCTAAAATGAGTAATTTATATCTGATATTGTGTAACAATATCTGCAATACAATACATTTACATTTATGTTGGTTCTGTTCTGTTTACCCTGGGGGGTTATCGCTGCTCTCCCTGCTCTCATCCATGCTAGGCTGCATGGATGC